CAGAAATAGGTAAGTTGCCGGGCGGTGGTGGTGCATGTCTTTTAATCCTAGCACTTGGGAGGCAGAGGCAGGTGGATCTCTGTGAGTTTGAGGCCAGACTGGTCTATAGAGCGAGTGCCAGGATAGGCTCCAAAGCTACACAGAGAAACCCTGTCTCAAAAATCTCCCCCCTCAAAAGAAATATACAAGTCATCTTTTACACAATGAATTTTGTATGTAGGTTCCATGTCTCTGTGTCTTTAGTTTATTTTTATCAAGAAACAATTGTCTGTAGGCAAAGGTTCTTTATTAAACTTTATTGTATAAGCTGAAATTTTATCATTTCATTCAGAAAATTTATCATTATGATTTTAGTGAGATATGTATTAGATGGTAAGATGAAAAGTGTGAATTAGAACACTTTCAGACTACTGGATTTTTTTTTTTTTTTTTTTTTTTCTTCAAGACAGGGCTTGTCGGTATAATTACCCTGGCTGCCCTGGAACTCTCTGTAGACCAGGTTGGCCTCAAACTCAACAGAGATCCCCCTGCCTAGTGCTGGGATTAAAGGTGTGAGCCACCACCACCCTCTTCTTTTTCTTAATGTTGGCTAGAGATGAGCAAGATCTTTGATGATGGGAAGGTGTTTTAAACAGAATTTAAAAACCAGACTTTAAGGAAAAGAGGAGCAAATTGCTAGGTCATTCCCATTTATTCCATTACATTCTAACCTCAGACAATATTTTACATTGTATCAGGGTTAGCCAGAAAATTTTGTAGTTAGATTATACTTCTGTTGGTTCTACCTCAAAAGGATATGATGTTTGGAACACAGACTTCAAGTCCTTACTGCAACATATAGTCTTAACTCTTAAATAGTAGAAAGTAGCACAACTTGTTTATTCTTCTGAGGTTTGGCAGAAGATGAAAATGCTAGACAGTGTTAAGCTTTGTATTTTATTTTAAATTATCATCTATCTATATCTATTTATTTATCTATCAATCTACCTACCTACCTACCTACCTACCTATCCATCATCTATCTGCTTCTCAGCCAATATCTTACTATCAACTTAGACTACTTTTGATTTCTTAATTCTCTTGCCTCTTCCGCCTCCTAATGTTAGGGTTAAAGTCATGAGCCCCTACACCTGTTTTTAGCTTCTATTCTTTAACAGGTAAGTTGCTCTTGGATTCTTTTTCACTCCAATTCATTTATGTGGGAAAGCATACCATGGGCATGGAATCCCCATAAACATTAGGAATGGTTTTGTTACTGGTATAATTAAAGAATCTAGTGGTTGAAAAGACAGAAACTATAACAGCTATGAGGATTTGCTCGCAGGAACTGAATACGTATGAACATCCATGCACGTGTATGTCGTCATCCAGATACCTCTTAGGTCAGTAGGGAGTCTCTTGAAGTTCAGACCTAATGTATATTTATTGTACATCATTAATTTCTCATTCCTTCATTTCCGGTATACTTTTATATTTACTTCTATATTTCCTACTCCAGATCTGGAACTTACATTTCTGTATAGTTAAGTGGTTGCTTTTTAAGAGAGTGGGCTCAGCAGTTAAGAGCACTGGCTGTTCTTCCAGAGGACCTGGGTTCAATTCCCAGCACCCATATAGCTATAGCAGCTCACAACTGTCTGTAACTCTAGTTCCAGGGGATCCATGTGTGTGTTAAACAAATATGTGCATGCAGACAAAATACCATACACATAAAATAAATCTTAGAAGAAGAAAAGCTTAAATGGTATTTATTAAAGTAAATAAAGACATGGATAAAATAGCCAGTTTTCATTTTCCTAAGATTATGATTCTTATGTGTGGTTGTAGAATATGAGCTGTATACCAATTAATACCTATGTTTTATATATTTCTAAATAAGAATATATTTTGTATATTTCTAAAGCTTGCCTTTATATTTTTGTTTTGTTTATCAAACAAATACTGTTGTATTGCTTTGACTGACCTGGAACTACTAGGCTCAAGTAATTGACCTGTGCTTCATCTTCTGGAGTAGCTATAGTCAGGGTTCATCATGTCCTACTTGTCTTCTGTTTTATTTTTGACAGAAATTAGCTTTGTTTAGTTATAAACAAACTACACTATTTACCTTTATTGTAGTTTGTCTTTTCTGAATTTACAATGTCATGAATTGAAGAAGTCATGCCAACCCACATTAAAAAAGCTTAGCAGAGTAGGTGCTTGAGTAATTATTACTGTATTTCTTTAAGATTTCTGCATTTCATTCACTTAACTTTTTGTGTGTATGTGCATGGGTCACAAATGCCATGGGGCATAACTATAGTGGTTAGAGGGCAACTTGTGTTACTATTCTCTTTGGTTTGTTCATTTTTGAGACATGATCTTTGTATTATGTAGCTCTAGCTGTCCTGGAACTTGCTATGTAGATCAGGCTAACTTCAAACTCACTGAGATCCATCTGCTCTGTCTGGGAATAAAGGTGTGTGCCACTATGCCTGGCTAGACTTAATCAGATGAGTTGACTTTGACCTTATTACAGATTAGCTGTTAAATGGTCTAGTGGTTAAATATGCACAGTGACTTATTTGTCTGCTGAAAATTACCAGTTGTGAAATTTCTAAGTGTCACTTGCTCACTATTACAGGTGTGACCCAGGGCTCAAAACAGCAGTGCCCATGTTTTTCAGAATTAAATTTACCATTCACAAATATCTACAAAGGGGAAACAAAAAACAAAAGAAAGCAAACAAACAACAACAACAAAAAAAACAGAACAAGGAAACAAATATGTTTTTCTTTCTCCTTTCTTACTTATACCTAACAGCTGATACCATATGCTATTGAGAGAAAAATGCCTGTGAGATCTATGGGCGTGGCCAAAGAGAATAAGCAGAGAATGCCAAATAGTAGAATAAACCAGGTTTGCTTGGCTTTGTAGACCTGTTAGCTTCAGTCTTAAGGGAACTATGTAGTAGAACAGCATAAAATGAATAAGAGCATGATCTCTGAGATGGGAACCTTTTATAAGCCATGTTGTTTTATATATTTAATCTTTCACATTATTCTTTTCTATTTTCTATTGTTACAAGTATTATATGAAGTAATGTACAGTAGTTTAAAACAGTACTAGGTACACTGCTTCCACAATCAGTAAATGATGTGTGGTATTGTTAGTGTTGTTATTATTGGAGACTTTTTTGTGGAACTAGGTATTAATAAAGTTCCAATTATGATGTATGTACTTAGGCATATTATATGCATGAAAAAGAGATTAAGGAAACTGTGAATTTAGTCATTGAAGAAATTCATTATCTCTAATTTTATTCCAAACAAACTAATGTAAATACTGAAATTTTCAGTTTCATTCTGAAATGTCTTTTAACACTTTGAGTGTAGGGTTACCCAGTTAACTGTGTAATCTTTCCTGTGATCAAATCCACATAGTTTTCAAACATTTCTTTCTTATATATAAAATTTCATAGTACTGAGGTAAAGAAGACGCAATTAACAGCTGCTAAGACATTTAATAGCAGGTTATTTGGCTTATAAAATTAACATTTTGTTGAAAATAAAATGAAAATAAATTAATAATAGAATTTTTATTTTAAAATAATGTTTGGTTGTTTTGTTAGTCAGGATTTCATTATTTAACGTACTTTTGCCTTGAACTCTCATTCCTCCATCGTTTTCCATGTGATAACTACCCTAATGACAAAGTTACAGAGTTTTAACATTAAAAACTTCTTTATGTGGCTGCTTTAGTCTCCTCTGGGGATGCAGAACATCATCATCATCTTTCAAGTCAGTCATGGGGAATATGGAAATGATTTTAAATTGGTACCTGAGAATAAGTACTTAAATATTTTCAAGAATTCTGTTTTTTGGAAGTCAATGATTTAAACTCAATAATCTTACCCTATTTTAGTTTCAGATATCACTTGGGGGTTCTGTTTCTGTCTCAAACTTATGCATTATTGCTCGCAAACATACATAACCACGTTTTCTTCTAAAACTTCTGTGTTATAAAGGAGAGGGAGTTAGTCTACACTGACAGTCCCTCTGTCTTTCATCACTAATGGGATTTTGTATGTCTTTTTTGTAGTAATACTGGTACCTCTGCAATTACATTGAGTAATTAAGTGAAAAATAATTAAGCAAGAGCTGGTGGATGTTTCATAGCTGATAATTCAGAATCATTTGATGTGGAATAGAGTACTTGTGCTTCTGATTTAAAGGGGGGGGAAATAAATTTAATATAAGTTAAAATTCAGTATATTACTAGCAACACTTTGTTCTTCTGGCAAATTATCCTTTCATAATAGGTTCAGTGATAAAAATGATTATTAGAATTCTGGTCAGGCGTTCTGACTTAATTAAAATTGATAAATTTACATGGAATAAAAACACTATTTTAAAGTTAATGGGCTTGTGTTTATTGATTTTAAATTCATCAAGGGGCCAAACAAAATATGAGAACTTTTGAATAACAAGCATTCAGTTCAGGATTTTGTTGCTTGTCTTTTAAAAACTAATAGTATCTTGATGAAAGTGCATTGAGTATGTTATCCATTCCAAAGGCAAATAGTCATCAAATGTTTGTAGCTTCTCCTCATCACTCCCTAATGGTTTTTAATTGGGGATACAGATACTTGTCATTTACCAAATTAAAAATTTAGGTTTGTAAACTTGACATTGAGATAAAGAAATAAGTTCCATAAAATGATTAAGTGTTGACGTATGTACACCTGCTCTCAGGAAATAAACTTGTCCCACCTGTTGCTGTTTGGCATCTGAAAATGAAATTGCTACCTCCAACCCTTTTCTTTTTTCAACAACACATCATCTTTGTGCTTTTACATTAGTACTTTTGCTTCAGTTAGAGGTTGTATTTTACACTCATGTGAAGCCAAGTATAGTTGTAGTTAAATAATAACACTTTACAAGAGTACAATATTTCTTCTAAATGCAAAATTCATTGAAATACTGGCTTGGCCCTTAATACCAACGAGGAAACAAAATATATCTATTTTGAAACCTTTAATAATTCATTTTATAAAAACTTGAGCCTGAGACACATTAATTTTTTCACATTTGTCACATGTCAAAATAAATTTCCCCAGCATATATGACAATTAATAAACGAAATTAAAACAATTGTCAATTGTTTTTAAAAGTAAATGCTTGAATGAGAATTGCATTGCTTAAACACTTGAATGCTATAAATGAGTTTATGGAATAACTAAGTCTTATTGCATGTAGTATAAAGTTTTAGAACTCTAGAGTCTGGTCAGAAAAGGTGTTCTCTGCACAGTACAAAGTTCCCTTAAAAGCAATAGTACTGTCTTATTTACATTAAATTATGGTGAAATTCAAAGTAAATCTAGCAATCTTTTGACGATCTTCACTTCTTAAATTTTTATGTGGAAATGTATGCAGTTACATTGCATTGGTCCCTAGTGTAAGACTTGAAGGAACCATTTATGGATGCATGCTTATTATTGCATGTTAATACAGAGAATCCCTTTATACAGTTTTTTTAAAAAAGAGTCTTTTGGGATACCTTTTTGTCATACTTTTGTAATTTTATGAATTAGCTTCTTCTGAAATTAAAAAAATAGTTTTGAGTTCCTTTATGTGATGAGTTGAACTAAAACTTGTCCTATGTATATAATCAAGTTTTAAACTATACATGCTTTAAGCAATATTTACAGATTACACACTTGAACAAAAATAGTCTTTTAGTGTAGTTTGCGGTGCCGATACCTGCCTGCTTTTTCCTTTGCTGCGTTGGCACAGGCGTTGTGCTTATTCTGTTGTAAGTGGTTCCAGTATTTTATCAGTTCACTAGGCTGGAACTGATGAGAGGTAATGAGGTGGCTGTATTTACAACTTGAGTAAGAAACTCGCCAGTGATTGAACACGAACTCATTGGGAGGGGGCACAGGATCAATTCTCAACTTGGCAAGACAGATCCCTACATACACATCTTCCAAGTGCAAACGACGGATGCCTAAAGAAACCTTAAATATTTTTTCTGCTAGATCCCCAGAAAAAACATAACCAGTTCCTGAGCAGAAGACAGGGTAACGCTCACTTGGATAAAGGTCTGGTGGCATGTACCATTTGCTGTCTTTGTTTCTGTTAGGTGCATAGCCTCTCATTAGGTACCCAGTAAAATAGTTATGTCTAGGAGGCAGGTCTGGCTTTAGTAACTTGTGTATTAAATATTCAGTATTGACGAACATGTCACTGTCTGTTTTCATGACGTATGGAATATGTGGACAGTATGTTGCAACCCAGTTCATACCCATTAGTGTTTTAATGGTCAGATTATAGTATGTATCTAAGTATTCCTGTTGAATTATGTCGTGGTATTGTCTGCTTTCTTCCAGAATTGCATGTTGAAGATGGCCAGTTAGTTTAATACTTATGCCCAATAAAAAAATCCGTGTGATTTGGATGCCAGGTGCTAAACTTTCATTGCCCCATGTTTGCCGGATAGCTCTTCTTGCTTCTATTTGTCCAGGTTCTGCAGCTATTAATAGTATTAGAAATGGACTTTTCTCTTGGCATTTTTCAGGCTCATTGATAATATATTTGAAATGGTAAGAGTTTGGGTATCCAGTACCCTTTTCATTATAATTACTTCCATTGGCACTGAGTGTATTCTCTAGTCCTGTAACTCCTTGTGGTGATACATCTGTGTTATTGGAGTTAGATGCTGTGTGAGGCCTCAGGGTCTGAGGAATTGCTTCTTTCCAAATGTTCCGAAGGGAGCTGTGATTTGTTTCACTTTTTGTAGAACGAAATCCTCGGAAAGTGTATGTCACAGGATTTTCTTTGAATCCAGGTCTACCTGGTAACCAGTCATGATGATTGAAAAACAAAAACATAGCAAAAAGAAACACTAGAGAAAGCACACCCACAAGGTGGGTCCGGAACAGAGACCTTTTAGCATTCCAGGTCATCTTTGCAAAGCAGCAGTGTCTCCTCCTCCACTGAAGCATGTTGTAAATATCCAGGAATAGAGTAAGATGAGGCCAAAATTACTGTTGTTTTTCCTGAATCAGTACTGTTCTTTGGTTGTCATTTTCTGGTTCAGTCCCTCGAAGTCATTCTGTAAAGATGAAGCATAGTGGTTTACAAAATGCAAAATCTTACCAACTACCTTAAAAGGGCCCTGATGGCTAATAAGAGGGCATTTTTAACCTGTGAAGAAAGAAAGCATATACTTTGTTTCCCTTTGACAAAACACAGTAAACAAGATTTATTTATTTCAAAATATTCTTGTAGCACAATGATTACTTGAAAGGTAAGTGATAGATTAATTTTATTGGACCCACATGGTCTCAGTAGCTTTGGTCATCTGGTTATCTGTTAAGGGAAAGATTTTTAAAGTTGTATCATGTAGAAAGGAAAAATGTTTTTTAGATTTCTGACAAGGGCTCAGTAAGAAAGCCATCAGAACATACGGAAAGTTTATTGACATTAATTAAAATTGATTTGACATGCCATGATGATATGGTGCACAGTCAGTGGCCTTTTTTGGAAAATAGTCATGTATGGTTTTGGGGCAGGCAGTGTAGGTTTGATTGTGGTAGAGTTCAGTTAGTCACAGTACACGGCTTGGCACATTTCCACTGACCCCCCACTGTGTTGAGAAAGTCAGTGAGAAGATACACCTGTCAAAATTAATTTTCAGGGCCCAGTAATTTCAGTGTGAGATTAGACAGTAATAAGTGATTAACATTTTTAAATACTTTGCTAATTTTAACCATGTACATCAAATAGGAAGAATCCAAGAGATCAGTCTTATTTAATTATGGTTTTGGCAAAGACATACATTTTGCCCGGTTTCTTTGGGCTATATTTTTGCAAAATATAGACAATGGCCATTACTATCTTAAACTGCTTAAAACCCATTCCCCATAAAATATATTTTCAAATATTCTTGAATTATGCTTAGCTGCATAATCTGCAACAAGGACAAATCGTGTACTATTTAAAATTTTATAGTAGCATAGCCCTTCCATTCCTAGATCTTTAAACAGTTACAGTCTGGTCAAGAGAAGTTAATGATTCTACATAATGAAAAACTGGCTATTTTGCAAGAGGCTTTTCGGTATAGCACAAACTTATTTGGTTTGTTAATTATATTTTGTCTTTTCTTTTTTCCTTCTTAGCTGTTACTAGATGAAGTGGGATCATAGAAATGGTTTGAATTCCAATAAAAGGTATTTTGAGGAATAGAGACAAATAACTAGTTTTGATCCTACCCCCAGATTTTTGTTTCTGTTATTTTAACCAAACACAGAAGTAGAAGCCATTTATTAATTTTGAGACTGGCAATATTAAAATTTTTGTATTCAAGAAGTGATTTTATTTCAATAATTCACTGAAATAGTTTCTTTAAACGAAGAAAATAAAGTTTTAACATAGGCATTTATATGTGTAAATGCTTGTGTTTATTTAGCTTATAATAGTGATCAACTTGTGGTTGATGGCAGAGTGGTCTAACACTAAAAGAAATGCTTTTTAAGAAGTAATATACTTCACATGTAACTCCTCAAAAATTGAGTAATTGTAGCATAGAAATTACACATACGTTTCAGCTATCTCTTGAAAAATGTTAGGTGGTTATGAATGAAGTACTATTCTAGTAGCAGCCACTAGGAGGAGCAAGTAGGTGGGAATTTGAACAAATTTCTAATGTTTAACAAGGAACTAAGGTTTGATCTTGTTTCTGAAATTGAATGGTGCTTTTAGTGAACAGGGTATTTCTCAAAGCTAAAAAAGTATTTAATCTCTCCCTCTCTGTGTCTCTGTCTCTCTCTCTCTCACACACACACATTGATTTTTAAGTATCTAGTTTGCTCTTAGTTTTATTTACATGGATTTAAATCTTTCAGTACTATGTAGAGATCAAAGCTATTCTCATCCTGTGAATCGTTCCTATATGACATGAGTTGAAAATTGCAGAGCTTAATGGCATACTTAAAAACAAATTTTCCTGCCTATATTTATAAATTTTACCTAAAGCAGAATATTGGAAAATTACATTATTTGGTAGCTACTAATGACACCCACCCACCTTATGAGTGGATATTAAAGAGTTAAGTATATAAATTTAAAAAGTTACTTTGGAAAGTTCATTTGATCTGTTTCGAGTATTACAAATATAAACATATCAGCCTTCTATTGATATAGCAATACTTAGAACATGGCTGAGATCCAGTCATTCATATACTTTAAAAGTGCAAATTTATAATTCAAAAAGGAATAAATTCAAGGTCAGACATTTAAATGAATGAGTAAAAACTTAAGAGAATGATGTATTGCAGTAAGTTACATTGTTTTCAAGAAAACAGTGTGCCTGAAGTGATATTCCAAAGTGTTTTAATGTCACAGAAAGCAGCTAGTTATTTTTTATTATAGCTTATCATGCATTCATCATAATTGGTTTTAATGTGATTGTATAAGATGAAGGTACATCTTAATTCAAATTTCACGAGAATTGCGTGTTTGTAAGTATTAATCTAGGAGGGTTTGGAATCCCGTGTAAATATACCTATTTAATAACCTCCCATTGATAGATGAAACTCATGCATCTAGCCTTGCATTCTTTGCTAAAGTTTCTCAGGATGGATATATATATGTGTGTGTGTGTGTGTGTGTGTGTGTGTGTGTGTGTGTGTGTGTGTGTGTGTGCGCGCGCGCGCTATTTAAAAGAAAGTAAAATTGCTGTTAACTATTCCTTATTTTCAGGTTGTATTTTAGTTCTTGAAAATGGGAACAAGGGTAAAGAATGTTTATTTTGTCTTATAGTTTTTCTTAATAGCTCCTTTTCTGTTTTGATTATAATATTTTCAGTATGTTTTTATATCTTATGAATTGGAATTTGTAAGGATTACTATTAAATGTATCTCCCCATAGAGTTCCTATTCTTTGACTTTAAAAGTTGATATCTTTTTTGAAACAGTATGAAATTTAAGTGATGCTTTGATAGAAAAACTTTTACCTTGAAATATTTAGTCTATAGAGCTTAATTTCTAAAAAAGATACCAAGAGAGGCTGGATTTTAAAAGTGTTTTTCACTTAATGGTTCCTGATTTTAATCTGTTAGAATACAGATACTTATTAAAAATTGATGTTTATATACAACACTATCATTCAATCTTAATTTTGCAATACTGTGCTTATTATAGATTGTAAAATCATTTGCTTTTTGTGATTGTTATTAAGGTTTATGAAAGTAAGGGGAAAAATCAAAATACTTGATAGGTTTGTAAAATTGAGTTAGTTGTTCTTCTTACATTGATTGTTCCCAGGGTAGTTTGTGGGCGCCAATAAGTAGGTTGCTATTACATGTAAATAAATCCCAGGAGTCCATCCATTATTGATATTACTTTGACCTTGTATTATTATTAATGGATATCTTCATATCAAGCTATTTTATGCTATATTTTTAATTTCACTTTCAAAATTATCTCCAGGAACAGTCTTACACTTCATGATTTAGAATCAGTCTGTTACTTAAAAGCTCCCTATTTCACTAATGTATTTAGAGCTACTATTTGATATTTCTTTGTTTAAAGTTGTATTCATTGATACTATAGTAACATGAGTTTTTCCTTGGTGGTGTTACGCTTTGCATAAACTCACTACTGTATGTGATCTGATGCTAATATTTTAACTTGTATCTTCTTGTAGCTCAATAATACTTAAGGTTTGCTGCTGTACTCTTGAATTATATTTGTCATCTCTTGAGGATATATATGAGAAAAGATACTGCTATGAACTGTTAAGATTTTGTTTTGAGTGGGTTTTCCCAAAAGATCCCATGATATTAAAATCATATTTGACACTACTTAATATAATTTTGCTGCATTATTGTTTCATAGCCATTTTTAAAAATGTGCTTTAATTTATTAGATAAGGAATCAACTTGACCTAATTTGCTAGAGAATGCTTTAAGGGTTACAGATTTTTCTTAGTTTAATTTCTCAGAGAATCTTTTCAGTACATCTAGTTACTATTTGTTTTTTTTCTTTTAATGTTTTCAGTCCTGCAGAATTACTCCCAGCTATATATTTAGTTGGATAAAGCAATGAAAGCTTGTCTTCTAGAGACAGCAAATTTTAAAATCATGAATTTAGAAACCCTTTCATAGTTTCAAGGGCAGTGAACTGTATGAACTTGTTTATCAAGTATTAGTGCCTGCAGGGCTATAAAATCATAACACATTTAATGCACATTGTATACAAGATAGCGACATACCTTTCCTTCTTGGTCAGGCCATTTAGGTGGTGAGGATTATGCCCACTGAAAATACTTTTGGCACGCCATCACTTCAGCAAAAAAAAAAAAAAAAAAAAAAAAAAGAAAGAAAGAAAAGAAAGAAAGCAAGCCGATGCTATCGAACATGCGCACATCCCCCAACAGTCTGCCTCCTGTGATTGCTTTTCACAGTATCCAAAGTGTCCATCTGTCGGCGTGTCTTCAAGTTACCCTTCTTGTTCATATGCATCTGAGTCTTCAGAGATTTTCCCTTTCTTTCATTTTCTCTGTTTCATTAAACAAAAGAGCTGTAGTTGTATGCTCTATTTGGTACACTGTTGACTCTTTCCGACAGTTGATGCATTGAAGCTCTTTATATCTGCTGTATTCCCCGGCTGGACAATGCGGTGCTGTATTCTCTTCTCAGTATCCATATTTCTAGTAATAGTGCTGAGCTGCAATGTAAAGCAGCAGAGCTGGGGTTTAGTGTTTCAGTTGCGCTGGGAAAGAAAAAAAAAGGCTTTGCCTCTCTTCCGTCATTGTTGCCGGGCAGCTGCAGGAAGGATTTTTTTTTTTTTCTTGGAGTGGTTTTACTGAGGTTTTAGTCTGTAATATGAAATCCACGGTTCTTCAGCTGCTGCACAGGCAGGCAGCAGTTTAAATGTGGGCTTGACAGATGCTCTCTCTGACAGAGCAGAATTTAACGTCACTGCTTGGCTGAGTCCCACGTGATTGTTTGCATTCATTTTGACTAG